ATGATCTTTTATTAAATATTTACTTTGAAAGTACAGTTATGGTGACTCTTAACTACTCGTGATGAAAGACGGCTAAATAGGAACTCTCTTCATAAGGTGTTTAAATGTTTAGAGAGCCACTTGAATCCAGTAATAGATTTGAAAACTGTTTAAAGGATTCAGATGAAGGCAGTTTGAAGTCTCAGAAAATGAAAGCAAGGAATCACCATAAGGAGAAATGAAAATAGTGCTGCGTCTCTCTCCTTCAGCTCTCTAGGCACAAGCCGGTGGCTCACAAAGGAGGAAGTGGAGACGTTGCTGGTGGAGACCATCTCGACTCACGATGTAAGAGCAGACTTTGTTTCCTCTCATCCTCCTCTTCCTCTCCTTCTCTGATGGAGGAAGATGAAGCTTTTGACACGTGTGTGATGTTATCCTCAGTACAATCACTTCATCCAGCTGATGGAGCGCCTGCTGTCCATGCCCTACTGCGCCATGGAGGAGGAGTTTGTCCTGCGTTACCGCCGGCAACTGGAGGCTCAGTCCAAGAGCCAAATGGTGCCACCTCTGGAGAGGGATGACAGAGGCGTGGCCTTCAGCACAGCAGAGGGTAGACGGCTCTAGAATTCACATCCCAACTCACTGAAATTTTCCACATTTGCTGAAATGTAATTCTTGTCACATCTGACGCTGACTGGAGATCTTCCATGTCACATCTTTATGTCCTCAAGTTCAGAAAGGCCTGGACATTAGCTCTTGAAAAATGTTTGGAAACCTGCAGAGATTTTTTTTATGTGGTTTAAAGTACCACAGCCCACAATGTCAGTCAGTTTTTAACAAACTCATTCTTCTCCAGGCCTGTTTGAGTCTGTTAAACAAGCTGAAAGTTAATTTTTGAGATCTGGAGACTGGGTCAGGTGATAAAAAGAAGGGTGGCTACAGGAGAAATGAGCAGTCAGGCTGTAAACAAATTCCCAGCTTAGTCAAGTGTATTTGGAAAAGAAAATGGAGGTGGACCTGTTTCTTGCCATGTCATCAAACTATAGAAATGATGTCCAGGGTCTAAAAAGAAAAGACAGGGTAAATTTGGTTTTCCTCTTGTCCACCAAACATGAGAAATTTAGGTTTAAAGAGCAAAAACTTTATTGATGTTATGCTGGTATCGCCACTTAAAGCTCAGCTTTAATGTGAGACATTTAAACATTTGACAAATCTTTCAGCCACTGTGAGTTGTATATGATAAAAACAAGGAGGTAAAGTTGTGTGTGTGTGTGTGTGTGTGTGTTTATTCTCAGGCCGTAGGAAGACATCGAGCTCCTCTGTCGTTCTCCGAGACTGCGGCTCCGGGCGCGTCACCATCAACGGCCGAGACTACCTCCACTACTTCTCCGTGCTACAGGACAGGTAGGAGAGCCGCTGAACAAATAAACCTTTTCCACATCACATCACACTCTGCCGCTTCATTCACAGACACCATTTCCCTTAAAATGCAAGCCGTGATGTGTTTTACTCCCCCTCTCCCCAAAAAAATTAAAAAGCAGCTTTTTCACTCTTCACAGCATCGCCTCGTTTTTTATTTATCTCCTTGTAGTAAGTTAATTACACAGTTGAGTGATTGTGTGTGTGTGTGTACGTACGTGTGTGTGTGTGTGAGTGTGTGAGTGAATGTCCAGAGCTGGTGTTGTCATGCAGTGTGAGGATGGGCTGTAATTGGAGCAGAGAGTTGACAATTGACTTTGTCAGCAGCCATAGGCCATTCAGCCTGAGACGCCATCCAGAACACAGACACTTTCTTTTTCTCACACACACACACACACACACACACACACACACACACACACACGCACATGCACACGTTCTCTACCTTATCCTATTCCTGCTGAGTCAGAAGTTACTCTGTAATATGTGGTGGTGAGATTGTAAGAGAAAGCTTTTCACAGTCCTGGATCCTCTGTGCTTGTCTGAAAAGTCACCCAACCAGACATTAAATTAGCTAAGCCTCTGCCGTTGATACCACTATCTGTTAAATAGCACACACTCCTGCTCTGCCTATTCAACCACATTTCATTCTTTCACCTCCTTTTTTTTTATTATCTCCTGGTCATTTTCTTCTTTCCTCTTCTTTTTTTTTTTTTTTTTATTCCTCATCTCTCCGCCTTCAGGGAGCAGCTGATGTTCCCGCTCCAGTTCATGGGCATGCTGGGACGCTTCGACCTGGAGTGCACCGTGAGCGGCGGTGGCAGGTCCAGCCAGGCGGGGGCGCTGCGACTCGCCATCTCCCGTGCCCTGCTCAGCTTCCTGGCAGAGGGGGACATGGAGATCATGAGACAAGGTGGGGGGAGTCACATAGATCATACTTTGTTTTGCATGTTTAGACCAATTTACTACAAATCATGTACATCAACACTTCTACTGATACTTTTCCCCAGCCAGCAAACCACCTGTTTTTAGATTAATTTCATTGCTTAGAAGCACTTGCAAAGACTTGAATCCATCCAACGCAGTGGAGCAGCCCCTCACAGTTAAAACACAGCCACAGAACAAAGTACAGCGTGTCATTTTGAAGACAGGAACATTTGCAATGAATGAAAAATGTTAAATTCACACTGTTTCCTAACATTCAGGTTTGCTGTAAGCAAATCAGGTCTCACATTTATAGTCACAAGCCACACCCACAGTAAATGATTCATATCCTTGAATTTAAAAGAAGTTGATTTTGGGAAATTTGGAGATTTAAGCTTGAACAGATTGAAAAAAACTGATTAAGCTCTTATACAACATTGACTAATATACTGTATATATTAAATGAATGTGATGTATTATGTATGTTGTAAAATCTCAATATGAACACTTTGTAAATAGCTAAGATAGGAGTCAGATACAGTTCCAACTGTTTACTTTTTTTTCAGGCTTGTTTGTTCTCTGCTGAACAGGTTGTTCCCTGTCTAACGTACTGCTCGGTTGATGTACTGTTGTTCTGATGTATTATGACAAGTTCAGGGATAAAAAGTTCTGCAGCTGAAGTTCAGGTTGAGGTGAGGCTTAGTTGAAAGATGACAAGAAAGAAGAACTGCAGGCAATGTAGGTGAAACCACAAGAGGCCCCTATACAAAAAGAAATAAATAACACAGTGACAGTCTGAGATGCAGCAGAACAGAACATCGAAACAAACAATATCAAAGCTCATTTATTCAGAAAGCAGCTCAGAGGTGAATATGGACGAATTGGGTGCAGTAGTGCATTCCAACAGGATGGACATGACATCATCATTACCACTTTGTCTCATGATTTCATCCTTCATCCATCCATTTCATCTCTCTCTATTGTTTTCCAGCTGGTCTGTTGACCCCTGACCCCAGAGTGAGGGAGAGGAAGAAGCCAGGACAGGAGGGAGCGAGAAGGAAATTCACCTGGAAGAAACGCTGAGGGGGAAGGAGGATGATCTTACCTGAACTGGAATATGAAATATTCACACTGTGGCCCCGTATGAACTGGTGTCTTGTCAGCTGTGTCCTCCTTAGTTTATAACAACAACAAGCCGAATGTCTTCATGCGCTCTCACACGGACGCCATGTTTTCAGGATGCAGCCCAGACTCAACAACAAGCTGCAGTGAGCGACCTCAGCCACCAGATGGAAGCGTGTGTCAAGGAATAAATGAAAAAGTTATATATGATTATCAATATATGAGTCACTAAATGAAGTTTTTCATGTGAAAATATGGTTTTCTGTGCATCTTTTTCTGTTTTTCCTTGTTTTGGTTATTACTTGGAAATTTAACCATTTGACATGTTTACTGCACAATTCTGATGCATTTTAGTTTAACTTTATTTAGACGGTTGGTCCGATTTAGACTACACACCAGTGAAGTTAAATTTTTAGGCCAAAATAAAGGAATAATGTACAAATTTGATTAGTAAAGCATGATAAAGCAATTATTTAATTAATTAATTATTTCAGTTTTTCTAAAAAGTATCGCAGCAGAACCAGAGATAATGTATTTGTTTAATTCAATGCATTCCTCTTTCTTATCAAAACATGGGGCCTTCATTACCCATAATGCAGCCCTGACCAGATAAACCGCCCAGGGGGCAGGGGGGTATAAATGTGTTTTTGGGGCCATATTGACCTCCACTATACATGTACATGGCATGGCAGTGTTATAATTTCCCCAGGCACCCAGAAACCAACCAGCGCTGACCCTGGAGCAGAAGTGAGTATTTGATTAGTCAATCAGTTGACTGACAGGAAGTTAATTGGCAACAATTTTAATAATTGATTCCAAAATATTTGCTAGAGTTCTCTGGTGATTTCACTGTTTTTAAACCCAAACAATGAACCAGGTCTAGTTTAAAAACTCCTGTCTGAAATTAACCTTTTATGCATTTTAATCAGTCTTCAGGCTCTCTCTGTTAATGTAGTCCAAAAAGTTATTTTTCATCTTGACCTGGTCTGATGTGGACTGAGTACTTAAGTTTACCGAACCTGCAAATATACGTTTCCTATTTGGTTCTATAACCAACTGCCACCACGAGATGTCGCCAAATTAGCATTAATGAACCAGGTGCGTCCCTGCTCATTATAACGCACCTGTTTCTGCTTGAGAATAATTAGCCCATTGTATGAACGGATAGATTCATAGGGAAACATTGTAGTTGAGTATATCTGCTTCAAATAAATGAATATATATGTTAATAACGATTAAATCGTGTTTAGGTTTACAGTCTAACTATATACAAAATCCTACACGTTTGTTTTGGATATTATCACATAATTTAAAGTGTGACAGGTGCACTTCCCACCTGTAATCAGTCCCGTATGTTGTGACGGTGGAGGCTGGGGTGTGTGGGTGTGTGTGGTGGAGAGGTGGAGTCACGTAGCCTCCCATTGGCTGCCGGTCCAGACAGGCGTACGAGACAGATTACTACCACTGCCGAATACAGAAAGCAGTCTGTGGGTAAAGGGGTGAGCCAGCAGCCGCAGCAGCTTGGCCCTACCTGTCCTCCGTTTCGGATCCAAAGTGGAGGTGGGTTAGCGGCTAATACAACGTTTTTTTTTGTGTGCGTTCTGGTCCAATGGAGGCAGCGGTACTGAACCCCGGGATAATGACGGAGCTGGACTGCAACAGCAACACCCTGAACGCCGAATTGGAGGTGAAGAAGCTGCAGGAGCTGGTCCGGAAACTGGAGCGGCAGAACGAGCAGCTGCGCACCCGGGCGAGCGGCTGCTCAGGCGGCCCGCATGTGCTGCCTCCATCCCCGGCGTGCGCGCTCGGGAGCGCCGGTGGATACTGTCTGCCCAGCCCTGTGCCCACCCTGCTGTGTCAGTCGTCTTTGGGGTCATTCTTGCCCCCGGAGGAGCCTTTCGAGTATTTCCACCCGCACACCGCCGGTGATGGAGCGGCTGCTGCGGGGGAGGCGGAGGACGCTTTCGAGCCGTCGGTTCTGGATGAGCTGGAGCTATTGGACTTGGATTCTCTGTGCTGCTCAGATGAGTCTGAGGAAACATGGTAACTGTCCAATGATTGTTTAAATTTTCAACCATTTGTTGCTTTTTTTTGTTGCAGTAAGTCGTGAGTCTTGCATGCAAAGGCCACATGTGTGATTTAGATGATTTAGATGATCTTATTGTTTGTGGGTGTGTGGTTTGGAAGCAGCAGCCTGTCCAGCTTCTGCATCACCAAAACAGAGCCACACACCCTGGAAGTTAATTAGGGAGCTAAAAGGAAGAGGCCACTTGTTACCAGGCCTGCACCAAGCTGCCATTCTCCCTATGTGTAGGAGATGAATTCTCATCATGATGCCACTTGCTTGATGCTTTTACATCAGTGCCTTGCTCTGCCCACAGGGAATCAAACCCTGAACCAACTCTGTGCAGAAAACCCTTCAGATCCTGCTCTTGATCATTGTCTCTTATTTGATGTCATCTTCCACTAGAAAAAAAAACCCATCTGAGGTGGTTGCTAAGAGACCAAATCAAATTCAGAAAGTGAAATTTTTGCTGGTTTTGACATCCAGGGTGAAGTGGCCATCTCATGCAAACAGGAAGCAACTTACTCTGAGCAGCTGACAGTAACTAACAAGTTGTTTTCATTCGTAACTAACTGACTGATTCAGTTAACCGACAAGCTGGTTGTTAGAGGCTCCCATTAAAATTTACCAGAGCTCATAGTGGTGTCTTCAAATAGCTTTATATATATATATCCACTCCCTGTGTCTAAAATAGTAACCGAGGTGTGTGTTCTGTCCCTTTCAGGTCAGACTCTCACCTGAAGTCAGTGCAGGTTTTAATCTATAATTCAGCTCCCCCCATGTTGCCTGCAGAGCAGACTCATGGAGGGGAGTTCGGCGCTGTCAGAATAATCTGATCCACTCCATCTGAACAGAGCGGCTCCTAGATTTTACACCGAGTCATCAGGAGATGATGAGTTGGTGGCACAAAGGAAAGATGGAGTCTGAGTCGTGATCTGTCAGGGACTGCATGGAGGAGATTTGCAACAGGGCAATAACGTGTTCATAACACTCATATTATGAGGAAAACATTGGTATTAAAGTGTATTAAAATGGCCCCTTTATTTTGGTGATTCTTATATTTTCAATTGAGTTGAGTTGGTTTCTCTGTGGAAGCAACAAAAACAGGATTATCGGATATATTAAATTTAGGACATGCTACCATCCAAGAAGAGTATTACATGCCCAGTGTCAGTATGTTCCCCAAGAAAACAAGAAGAAAATGGCTGATTTATGTTCAGGAAGGGGGTTGAAAAAGAGGAGGAGGATGTTAATGTTGCAAATCTTACTTTTTGTTGTTGCTCTTTACAAGGTTTCAGCCATTTCTCTTGCTTATTATATGGCAGTGTTTGCTGAAATATCTCAACAACTATTTAATGAATTGCCATGAAATGTTGTTCAAACATTCATGCTCCACAGAGGACGAGTCCTAAAAACGTTGGTAATCCTCTGACTTTTCATCTGCCCCCAGCATCATGTCAAAGTCTCCTCGGACAGCTGCTGGCAGGCTGTAGAACAACAGCTCATTCTCATCTATTTCTGAGCTACAGTTAAGACATATATTTGACGTTTCTTCTTTCTTTGGCATCTCTTTCCAGGTTGTATGTGTCATCAAAAGCCGCAGAGTTTACAGAAAACTTTCTCACGCCTCTGCAGTGGTGCCGGCAAGTTCTGGACTCTCCCAAATCAGAGGTGGAGGCCGCCAGGCGATCGCTGTCCCTCCGACTGGAGCAAGGTACCGAGCTCACAGGTTGTTCGTGTGCAGGTGGGGGGGGGGCATAGATTGGCCCCGGGGGGAGGTTGTGTTGTACGGTGAAGGAGCCAACCGCGCACAACAAGACACAAACACAGAGCGTAGATACATCCAGGGAAACCACACTAGTCTCACAGTTGTCGTAGGGTGTTAAATCAAAAGTTACTGTGTATCATCACGTGTGTTTGTTCCTGAGATAAGAAAACTGAGTGATATTACACGTTGGATTTGTTAAATTTAACAAGTCTGAACTGTTGAGCGCACTGCAACTAGAAAATCAATGTTACGGTGAGGTCTGCAAACCTCTGCGGCACTGATTTCCTGTCCGTCTTATGACAAACCTTCATTTATTTGCACATTAATAAAACATAAAGCAAAGTGTAGTTAACTATGTTCACTTTATACTCCCAGCAAACATAAACATATCTGCATCCTTTCCAAAGATTTATATATCCTCAATAGTCTGTGCAGAATTTACATATAGAATGTTCGATTTTCAAATTAAAATGTCTCTGGATTCTGGGGCCGTCCTTAGATTTAAAATCAGGCGGCTTTTTTCTAGACAACCTCTAAAGACCAGAGAGCAATGCACATGCAAGAAATCTAGGAAGAGGTGAGGATGATTCTTAGAGATGTAAACCAGCAGAGGAACTTATTTCAGATTAAGATCTGCATTTTATGTTGTCGTAGTGTGTCATTGACTCATGGACTCTGATCTGTTGAGAATCATCTTAAGTGGCTGCTATCAGGGATATTTTGAGTTATTTCTCTTGCTTATTTTCAGTTTTCTCTATGTCCGTGTAGTTACGTCAATTTCCCTGATGTGTTTGTCATTTTTTATTTTCATTGACCACATAAGAAATACTTTACACCCCCCCACCCCACCCCACCCTCCAATTTGAGTTTCCTCAGTCTCACTCAGTCCACCAGAGGCGGGGACAGCAGATTAGTTGGCAGGGTGCTGCTCGCCTCCAGGCTATTTGAAACTGATGTAAGCAGCTTTTAGGTGTCTTGCCAAAACACATAGCTCACTCGCTCACAATCACTTAACTGTCTCACACAACACAAACCTTTTCCAGGAAGAAGTGCTAAATTGTTACTTGTCTAGACTTTAACAGCCTGGTGCTCTTACAGTCTTGTGAGGGGGGGCAGTCTGGAGTCTGGCACCAAAATTTATACAACTTGGCCGAGATTCAGAGAGTTAGGAAGTCACAGTGACAGTGTGAGGAGAACCTTCAGATCACTGTGCAAATGAGAGATGATTTGAGTAGTGACGTTCAACTGTGGGCCGTGGCCAATCAATGACCACGATTGGTTTATGGCAATACTAATACATTGCTTTTATTTATATATATATATAATGTATATGTGTTTTTTGCAACAATATGGTGGAGAACCTTTTATTTGTCATTATCACGATATGTAAAATTACATAGACATTGATAGAGAATCTTATCCTTATTGCTCACTCCCAACAAAATGGGACATATAAAAAATATCAAACTGATGTTTAAAGTTTGATTATTGGAATAAAATCACAAGATCACATCATCACACTACAAATTTTTTAATAAGGACTGTGTGGCGTTCTTCATTACTGGTTAAGTATTTTTTAATGAGTTATAAGGAAGTTTTTTCTGAGGGTTGTGTACAGGAACGCTCAGCTCACATGCAAACAGTGTGACACATTCACACCTGGAAGCTGTCCAGTACAACCACAGTCTGATACTGTTAGCCAATCAGCAGCTAAATTGGAGCTGTTGGAGGTTAAATGCCTTGCTCAATGGCACCTTAGTGGTGGTAATAATCAAGAACAGGCAGGTTCATCCTGCTGCTCCAAGGATCCAACTGCTCACCTTTGCAGCATTTAAATGTTTTTGAATTTCTTTGTGCAGTAATCATACAGCTTAGTCTATAAATGCTCTTTATGTCTTTACATATGAATGTGATAGTAGAGACTAATAACACACTTGGCAGCATGAGCCATGTTGTGACACTGCAGATGATAATTCACAGGCAGTCTGAGTTCGTCCACCTTTTATTTAAATATTAAGTCAGTAATAGGCTCCAAGAACCTCATCTGATGGACAGAGTAAACTGGGATTAGAGCTGTAGCTCCATCGTGTTGAATGGCGCCAGTTTTAGTGGGTCAGGCATCTAAACAGGATGGTGGGAGGCCCTGTGGTAGCTCCAGAACAGGCTGGAGAGACTACATAGCTGCAAGTGTTGCGGGGAAGAGGGACGTCCGGACTGCTTTGCTTAACCTGCTGCCACAGCCAGCCAAATAATTTTGATCATTACAATAAAATCACCCAACGTTCCCCCACTCTCATACTACCCAGGGCTAGTTCTCCTGCAGTCATCAGGTTGAAGTTGGATCACCTTCGTCACTACGCTATGACTAATGGGGATCAGCAGGACAGTGGAGCTCACACACTGTAATCCGTCCAGGCCTCGTAGCCTTAAGCGGTTCAGGCCCGGGTCACCTGACCTGCGTGTCTGCCTTAATGACGAGCATCACAAGAGGAGAGGAAACAGATTGGAGAAAGTAAAGCAGGAAAAGTGGCCACAGAGCTTCATCTGTCATAGTTTCATCAGCTGACTGGATGTCTGAAAAATAAACACCAGAGAAAATCAATATCGGTGTTAAGGCTGTCTCTTGGCTTGCATTCGGTGTTGTCATGGTTACCTCATGAGCCTGAATCGACTTTTTAAAAATAGGTTTAGTGTCTGTGGTGCATTGACAGGCAACCTGGAAAAAGCAGATCAGGATTATCAATAGATAATGTCAGTGTGTTGGAGAAATCCTCACCTGATCAATGAGTCTCTCTGTATACTTTATACTTGTGTGTGTGTGTGTGTGTGTGTGTGTGTGTGTGTGTGTGTGTGTGTGTGTGTGTGTGTGTGTGTGTGTGTGTGTGTGTGGAGGCGACAGCTCCCTCAGCTGAGCAGGAAGCTTAATACCCTGAAGCTTTTAATGAGAGGAGACGGTGCTGGACTCACCTGCGTGGGTGCGTGCGAGGCCGCGCTGCCTTCCCACACTTTGAAAATAACTGCAGATAATCAAGTTATCCTGAGAGGAAATAATCACTGTTGGACTTCTCTTGAAAGTTATCTGCTCATAGACTTGATACTTACAGACTCAACCACAACAAAAAGGATTGATTGATTGATTGATTGACTGACTGGGAAGTGCAGTGCCATCCTCCTCCTCTCTCAGCCAAGTTAACTGGGGAAACTGTTTCTTTGTGCACCTGGTTTTGTGCACAGGGCCAGTGTCATGCCAGCTGCTTTTTTTCTAGCTTTCATCTCACAGTCTTTGTCAGTATAGGGGTCACGGTAGTCGACCTCCGACTGGTCTGAGACCTGTGAAGTTGCTCCAGCTGTGCAGCTTGTTGCATCAGAGGCTAATGGTCCTCCACCGCAGCCTGTGCATCACTCAGAGCTGCAGAGGAGTCCTCCCACCAGCTTGGCCTGCCGTCTCTCTCCGCCTGAGGTTGAGTACAGTGAAATGGAGAGCTGTTGCCATGGAAACCGTGTACATGAAAGGAAAGTACCCCTCCTTGATAGCTACGTAGCTTAGATTCACACTGACAGGTAACGCAGAGAAATCCTCCTTTTGCATCTTTGGCTGAATGCAGGCTTCAATAACACACACACACACACACACACACACAGTGTTTAATATGATGCACAATGCAGCACATTTTTATTCATCTCTGTTCCCTAATAGTGCCTGGTGCTTCAAACCAGTCGAAATTTCTTCTCTGCATCTATGAATAGAAACTAAGGTGTGTGTGTGTGTGTGTGTGTGTGTGTGTGTGTGTGTGTGTGTGTGTGTGTGTGTGTGTGTGTGTGTGTGTGTGTGTGTGTGTGTGTGTGCGTGCGTGCGTGCGTGTGTGTGTGTGTGCGTGCGCGTGTGCGTGCGTGCGTGCGCGCAGCTTCAGTCTCTGAGCGGCACTGTTGTGTTGAATACAGCTTTGTCTTTGGTGCTAAGCACATGTGGAGCTGCTGAATAGAGCAGTGACAGACAGTGACAGACACAGTGCTGGTGAGGTAACAGCCCTCCTCTCAAAAAGATGTTTGTGTGTGTGTGTGTGTGTGTGTGTGCGCCCGTGTGTTGTGTCTGTTGTGTCTATCTTTGTATTTGTGTCTATTTTTGTGAGGGCCAGTCTCAGTTTTGGAGCCATGATGTAAAGACCCTGACTTCAGCTCATGCTACTCTTCAGAAATGGTCTGTTGTGAGGTTTATTTAAAGACATATTCAAATTGTTTTGTGCCTGGTGAAAGATGAGGGTGTATAGAATGAAGAGGCAGCTGATTTTTAATATCGCATTAAAACAAACTTGTTCAGTACGTGAACAAAAAACCCCTGGACACTGCAGTTTTTAGCAAACATTATTCAAGCTGTAGTAAATAGTGGATTTGTTAGGGACTATTTTTAGCTGCGGACTAATACACGTGTGTGGGACTGACTCGGATAAAATACAGTGCCCATTGTTCTTTGTCAGAAAGAAAAATGTGGCCCAGTGTAATGGTTTGGGTATTATTTTGTTGACAAGAAGAAAACCAGAATATCAGCAGCCTAATCCTTTAGTTTGAGATCCTCGCCAACACAAAATATTGTCTATTGTTTGTATTAAACATGAAAGTGGTCGATCATGATAATGCTGATAAATTAAATGTCCGCTCTCTGCTTGTTCCCTCCCGTCTCCTCTCTCCTCCATCCTCAGTCTCCAGGTGGCGTAGCTCCCTGTCCAGCCCCTCCCCCTCCTCCTCCCCCGGTCCTCCTCTGAGTCGAGTCGCCGGAGTGTCTCCCATCAGCGCTTCCCCTTCAGCCAAACCCTGCTCCACTCCACAGTCGTCTGAAAGACACGGTAACCAGACAGCATGCGTGTGTCACGCTCGGTCTGTGAGCTCTCTCTGGAATCAGCAGCAACATCGCAGAATAATGATGTTAACGTGTGATGTATCTGTTACATATGCAATATCTTACTTTTCACATATTTACAGTTTTAAATATGTCAAATATGAGACTGGTTTGAGTTGTGCGTGGCCAGAATTGGTTTAATTATGTTTGTTTTTGTTGTTAGTGGAGTCTAATTATATTAATTGCTCATTGCCTGTTTAACTATTATGGTCTTTTTTTTGGCGGTTTATCCTGATCTGCAGTTTGTGTTTCTGCTGAAAACTCAGTAGTTTCTCACCATCCCTCCTTCCCTCCCCGCCTCAGCTCCATCCCTCTCCTCCCCGCTCCACCCAGTCCTCCATCGGACGCTGAGTCCTGTAGGGAAGGAGCTCTCCCCTGTAGCTGAGAGGACCCCCACGTTCCTCCCTCACCCGGCCAGCCGAAGTAAGGAGCACTGCTGCTTTCTCCACTACTCCATGAAAACATCTGGATTATTGCTTTTCTTCTCCCATAAGGAGCATAATAATATAATAATAATACACTCAGCATATAAATTAACTTTCCAAAGTTGAACTGAATACTTCACGTGTAGTTATCAGAATATTAATGTGCAGGTTAACACTGTCTGAAACGCAGCGCTGCTTGTGTCTCATTATATTTGACCACATTTTGCTGCAGGAGTTGTTGTGTTATGTTTGAGGGTGAGAGCGACACAGATTCAAGTGCATTATTAGTGATGGAAAAAAAATAATGTTCCAGACAGAGCGGAGGGCAAAGCTTCAGGGGACGAGAGGGGCCACATTGTTGGAGTCCTGTTGAGCCCTGAAGGCACGGAGCTCATTTCTCATTGCTTCATGTAGCAGCAGAAACTAATTGCCACAGGGCTTCGTTGGTGGCTTTTTGCCAAAGGCTCAATTCCATGACAGTGCAAGTCAAAACAGCAACAAGGCATTAAAAAACCAGAGGCCTACTTTTGTACTTTTTGCTTCTTTTTAGGTGCTATCTGAATCTGTATTATAGATACCATGTTATTCAGGGTCAGAGCCAGGATCTTAGAAACACTGTGGTCATGACTCTAACCTTAACTCCACCATCCAAACTCTCACATTTAATCATTCATATGTCTGTTCAGCTGTCTCCCTACATTATGTTCTGAATGTTGTTTCAAAGTCTTCTTCACACTGTCAGGTACTTAACTATGTTGGAGAGTATTACATCTATCTTTTGAATAGTTTTTGACTAAAACGGTCAAATTTTAAGATATTTAGTCATGAAAAGTGTCCAGAAAGTGAGAGCATAATTTCCCAGATGAAGGTAAGTGAAGAGAAGAGACAAAACATTTCGAGTAGAAGGTAAAAAGAACCTAAACTGGGTTAATTTTACTTGACAAAACATCATAAATAATTTTAGTACAAGTCATCAAGATATGCAGATAATTTTGGTTTTAATCATCCAGATGTTGAGATATTTGCCTCTGAGATTTCTGCATCCACTTCAATGTCTGGATTATTCTGGATAATCCAGGGCCTATCACTGTACTCTGGGGACTATTTCTTTGGTGAAAAGTTAGTTACTCGAGTCAAGTGGGAAGTTATGTTATGTATTGTATTTGTTTTTTTTTAATTTGGGCAAACTGAACCTTTAAACAACACAGGCTGGTCTTATGAAAGGAATCAACAGAGATACATTTTAGGGCAAGTTTCTTAAACTCAGAGTGAGTCTGAGTCACAGAAGATAACAAAGGGTCCTGAGTCACCTCATTCGCTCTGGAATAATAGCCCTGATAGAAAGGATTATTTTAGAGAGCCATCGCAGTGAGCCGGTTTCAGGAATATCATTAACTGTGGAGAGGTTGGTGTAACCTCTCTGATAATATTTCTGCCTCACTGCTGCTTAATAGGCTCTAATTCTCAGAGCCAAGTATCACCCTCCATTAGTGTGAATCCTTCATCTTTATGTGGAGCACACTCGGATGACTCAAGGGTGCTTCCCTCATTACTGAGCCACCAAAAGTGAGCGTCGCTAAGCAGCACGGTGACTGTCTCATTTGTGTAACTGTCGTCGTGTCAGGACTGAGATGGGGGAAGGGCTGGTGAGGAAAATTGACACGAGTCAAACTGTTTTCTTTGACTGTTTTTTTGGGGGTTTTTTTGTTTGTTTTTAGGCCGCAGCCTCATGCGCTCAGCCCTCAGTCCTCAGTCATCCATGGACAGTGACCTCGGTGCTTCAGAGGTAGAAGACGACTCCATCACTCTGGGATACAAACTGCAAGACCTCACCGACGTCCAGGTCATGGCCCGGCTGCAGGAGGAGAGTAAGTCATTTACTCATCTTACATTCAAACAGAAGGAAGCGGTAGCTCTGCAGTTGAGATTTAACATGTCTAATGTCAGTGTTTCTGTGTAAAGAACAGCTCTTCCTCTGAGGAGTACTATATAATTAAAACTCTAAATTGCAGGGAAGTCAGACCACTGCATGCTGACTGTATTGTTCTTTATTTTTGCCCAGTGGCTCCCAAACAGGCGAGAGCAGAGGAATATAGAGTGAAACTGAGGTCAAAAAGACCATGTTCAGAGCAGACAGTCCAACACAGATATAACACTGTTAACTGCTGCAGTGCATCACAATAACTGTCTTTATGAGATTGATTCATTTGGTGGTCATAAATACACAAGTGCTGTGATACTAGTGAGCCTATCGAGACTCAGCAAAATGAAATGCACAATGGGAAAAAAGAGAAACTGCTCATTAAGCATAAACAATCAAATCCAACATATTTTTAAAGACTTTTTTTTCTTTTGCTAAATTTAACTTCTGTTTTTACACAGACAGACTTTTTTTGTGTTGTTACTTAAATTAAACAAAAGTCATTTTGTGACTTGTCTCCCCATTGTTGTTTCCTGCTGGGCTCCTGTTTTAGGCTCAAATGAGGCTACAATCAAAGTGTTTGAGTGTTTATAGGAGATGGCCTATATCCGGTTGAATGACTGCAAGTGTGTGGAGCGTAAAATGTGTGGCTTTTGTCCCTCTAAGTCCCTAAAGTGAATCAACTGTTCATTACAAAATCAAAACAATAAATTAGGAAAGTAAGCAATTAAGGCAGAAGACTTCAAATTAAACTTGACTAAGGGGATTTTGAACCCTTTTGTGTTTACATACAAAGACAAGCCAAAGCATATCCTAACCTTGTCCTTAGATTTAGCTGTAGAAGACTGTGATATGGTTATAAGCTCTGAAAAACACTAGTAAGTGGACCTTGAGTTGGGGTTGTTGTTCTTACATGCTCAAAAATGAACTTAAATGCTAAAGATACATCTGATCAAAGGCTATAAACAAGACCAGACAGTATTAAGGTTCAGTGCCCAGCCTTAGTGTTTAAAACCAAACATCATTGTGTGTCACTTGTAATCTTAAACATGTTTGTTGACCTGCATCTCAGGCAGAATCTACTCAAAGTAATTCTAGAACGTGAAGGTGAAAGGGGATTTTATGTTTTGTTCTGGCTGGACATGTCAGTTTTTTTCTAGTTGTGTCTCTGTCATTGTGCCAGTTCACTTCGTCTGCTGACCATCTGTCTCTATTGTTCCCTTCTTTCTAATGTTTTAACATATGGCCCCAGATCTCAGAGCTCATCGCTACTTCAGCTTCATTAACCCCAGGAGGTGATGATTGTGTGTGTATGTGTGTGTATGTCCTGGCTGTGCGTGCGTGCATGTGTGTGTGTTTTGCCTGCTGGTCCTCATATCTCGCTCCTCCAGGTCTAAGGCAGGACTACGCCAGCACGTCGTCCATCCTGGCCAACCGCCGCAGCCAGAGCTTCACCTTCCAGCTCAGCCAGCTCAGCGCCGGCCCCGACCTGGAGGAGGAAGAAGAGGAGGACGACGAAGACTACGGCCTCCTGCCCCCGCCGCAGCCGCGCCTCACCCGCCTTCCGCACTCCCACACCTTCTCCAGCATACGAGACTGGCGAAGAAGCACCTGTTCCCTGTCCACCCCTCCTTCCACCCCCTCCACCCCTCCATACCCTTCCGCTGGGTTCGCCTTTCAAGCTCAGCCCCAAACCCAGCCCCTGGGACTGGGACTGGGACTGGGACTGGGACTTGGACTGGGCAGCCTCTGCGCATCCGAGCAGCAGGGATTCAGACCAGGGTCAGGTGAGAAAAGAGGCTTTTGTTATTTACCTGTACACATGATTTTCTTTGTTGCGAGTAGATACCAAAGTCTAAGTGTGGTTATTCTGTCATTCTAATTGAAGTCAAAGGTAAAATAATATTTGGTAAGAAGCCAAGCCACTCTTCTCCAGTGTGCACAAGTTAAAAGCTGCACCTTTACCAAGGTTGGTAGATGAACAATAATCTTTCAAGGAAGTCTCAACAAAATCATAATTCTAAAAGTATTCTGTTTGGGAGAACTATCTAAGCCTTTGTTTAGCATTTGCCTTAAAGACCCTAAAACTTATTTTCTCAATCAGTCCTACTTTGAGAACACAAGATAACAAGAATATAAGACACTAGTTAATTGACCAGGGCTTCATACTTCCCCTTTGATTATCAGCATAAAAAAGTGAGGTAGAGGCTTAACACTTACTGAAATACACCGTCATTACTCTGATTAGCACTAATGAGTTATCTCTGTCTCTATGTTGTGTATGTGAAATCTTGTATGTGTGTATTTGTATACATATTTGTGTGTTGGTTATATTGTTTTGGGGAAACTTCATCGTGGCGTCCAGCCGAATTTGAGAGTAAGTCGACATCATTTTATAAGTATGAAATACACTTTGATACTTACTTAACTTCATAAACATTGAAATATTATTGAATATTAATCCAGCTTTTGTGTGACTGAACACTATTTAAAATCGCATTGCTCATCAACTTTCACATTTTGAGATGTATCCAACCTTTGTTCTCTGATCGTACGTCGACGCCCCGGACTGACCCACACTGATGCTCTAACCACTTGATAATAACTCTGTCTAAGCCTCTTGTACAACTGGACTTAAAGCTCTAAGACTGGCGTGTTTCCGTTCTGAGGCAGAGACAAGAGAGAGAGTTTGATGGGATTAGAGTTAGGAGAGTAAATCAAGCAACTGTTTGTACGCTAAAGGAGATCACAGCCAGCTTGACGTGCATTCTTAAGGGATGGAGGCGTAATAAAAGAACAGGCATGACTGTACAACAAAACAGACTTACATGTAATGCTTTACTGTATTTATTTGCACCTATGGATGTGTTCTCTAACCCTTTGTGATTTAGAACAGCAAGACGGGTCTGTTTTTACGTCAAAATCTGCCCAAGTGCAGCTTTAAACATCCTGTGTTTATTTTTGTTTTGCTGTTTTTGTTCATCTCTCCTAGATAAGCTGCGCAGGAGCATGCCTAACCTTGTCAGAGCTCCCAGCATGCCGAGTGTGCCCATTCCGACCAATCCTAGTGCTTCCCCTTCTTTGCTTCGTAACAGCCAGAGTTTTGATTCATCCAGCGGGCTTGCTCGCCTGCAGTCCTCCAGTAAGACACTACTTTCATTTTGCTTCAAGGAATTTAAAATAAACTTCATTGTTATGAAATTGATGACATGCATAAACAGCAGTTGGCTAATTTCAGCTTTCTTTTCTGCTTTTACATCTGCTGTCCCTGCCCTCCTCCAGTCCCCTCCCCAGGCCAACTCCAAAACAGGGTCCAGAGTGTCGGAAATTTCTCCGCCTTGTCACGGCAGCCCCTGAAGGCCACCGCCTACGTCAGTCCCACCATCAAGGGCTCGGTTTCCATGCCGACCTCCGTCAGCCTCCAGTCCCTGAACTGCAGCGGCGGGAGTAACGGTGGAGTCGGCAGCGGGATCCCTCTGCTCAGTAAACCTGCCGGTGGAGGGGGGACGCCCACTTCCACACCAAGCACTCCTCGCAGCAGCCTGCCCCGTCCCGCCTCCTTTGTGGCCACCACAAGCTCCACCCCCCGCAGCAAGGTGGCCCAACCAACGCGAAGGTAAACTGTTCAGTTTTATTCCCTATAAACACTACTATATACTTGGAACTGGATGAAAACACAGGACCTTTGTTTCATCTTTGTAGCGATCCCAATATTTATGATCTTGGTCAATAAATCAAAAACACATTTCAGGAAATTCTCTTCTAAGGCCGAGTAGACTCAAATCATCATCATTTGTTTTCCTTGTGTTTAGATACAACACATTCAAGCTGCATTTGTCTATATGATATAATGATGATATAATCAAATAATGTAAAAGTTTTACGAACAGTGATGTTTTTGCTGTGTGACAATAATAATGGTGGTAATGAGAATAACAATGCACTTCACCCCTATAACAATGAAAGTTCAAAGAATGAATTAGATTCAAACAATAAATGAAGACGAACAATTTTGCAGGAAATTATTTGTGTGCAGGTCAACAAACATGTTTAAGATTACATTGTGCACACAGCCCAGTGTAAGTTCCTACTTGCACACAAAAGTACTTTGTTGCAATATTATTGGTACTTAGGCTCAGTCAGTATCCCCTACTTTAAAAATGACCCTTTTTTCCTCAGTTTACTGACACCTCCAAAGAGCTTGTCCACCCTCAGTGCCCTTCGTGACAGCACCTGGAGAGACGGCTGCTACTGATGAATGGATGAACTGGTGCAGTGGCACCCCGCTGGCTGGGGCGATTCACTTACACCTCAACATCAAGTTTTTCATGGCGACATTGACTGGGTCTGACCAAATCGTTCCTGTGGAGATGACCACCTTAAATCTGAGATCCTGCATAGAATGGTTAGATGTTACCACAGTTGAGGGTTTTAACATGAACTGATCTCTCATGCCATCGATTTAATTCTATGCAGAATTTCTTCGGGAAAGGCGGGTTGTTTTATTCTGGATTTGAGTGTATATGCATGTCAGGTTTCAATTTACTGAAAGCTTCACACTCGTCGACTGACTGATCCGTGCCAAGGGGGATTTATTCCCGGTTGCTCGTGTGCAATAAACTGCTGGCTGTAGGGTAACAGTAATACTAACCTGCTAAAGAGGGCTGCCAGTTTTTATGAAATGAGCCTCACGATATTGTATTTATTTATATATATTTATTTTAGGTAAAACATTTTTGACTAATCAGGTGTTTTCCCTCTGGCAACAAGCGCCAATGATGCTGCTAAAATTAAATCAGTCCCTCTTAGTTTGGGCACATTTGGTGTAATTTTACAAGCAAAACAAGTATGTATTCGTGTAAAAAGCTAACTATTAAGTGTGCATACTTACATATATATATATTGATGCAATATTATTGAATTTTAAATGTGAATCCTGACCAAAATGAAAATGTCTGAATGTGTTTACAAAATTGTCTCACTATGGCATCACAAGACTTTGTGCATATTAACACTTTTAAATTGTTTAATGACCTATAAGGGAAACTGTTCTTGTTGCACTTTGTATAAATCTCTGAATTTACTGATATTTTTACGTTCTGTTCTTACTAATGTTTGCACTTCTTTTACATTTGATCTTCTGGATTTAGGGGAAAAACAGCTGTTAATTAAATGTTCTTTGGGAGATTTCACAGTTACACACGGCATAATGTAGCACCCTTTGTTTGTAATATTTGACTTGTGTTTTTAAATGACCGTTAACATGGCACATTTCACAAAACCGTGACACTTTTGTTACTGTAATAGACTGAATGAATGAAACGTTTTAATAAAACACTGAATTACAGATGCCTTTTCCCTTATTTTATAGTAAAAACATGCAACTCTTAACTATGACCAGGAAACCAGTTAAAATAGAAACTGCCTTCGTTTAAAGTGATTTAACTTGTTTCCTTAGTGAAAGCAATTTTGAACCATGAAAAATAGATTTAACATATTTATCAGTATGTAACAAGCTGTGGTAATCTTATCACTAAGAGGTAGGTCTTTCACGTTTTATGATGCCACCTAGTGGTAGATGAAGTGAATTGTATACTTAAAATTTCCAATAAACAAAGCATTTTTAAAATTGTTTAAGACTGCAGTACATTACATTCATCGTGTCACACTCTAATGTGTAGGACAACAGTTGGATGAATGAATGAAGAATCATAACTGACTTTGATCAATACATAAATACACAATGAAAAATAAGCAGGTAAGTGTAACTGATGATTATGAATATGTTAATATTGGTAATTAATTAAAAGATCTTTTGACCAGGCAGTTCAATAAAGTGTAATGTCAAAACTGACAGAGAGATGGTCAAGAAGGGTAGGAATTAGACCTGCATGATATGAGGGAAATTTGCGATGTAGGACGACACTGTTCAATTTTGCAATTATGATAAATATATAATCATCTTGGATGATAGACTCGAAAATTCATGGACTGGCCTTGGCTTTAATACCATGTCCTCAAAATACCTGTGCAGGTGTCTAACCTATTGAGCCACCAAACCAGACACAAGGAGAGTGTCTTTCTTAAATAACCATCTGTGCTAGATCTTAAAACTTAAACAATTCCAGGGTGATTTAACCACCAATCTTAGAATCCTTAGAGAAAGACTCTAACTACTAGGCCAAAGACAATGAAATTATCTTCAGTCTTTCCTCTAATTCTCGGCCATATGATTCATATGATTGGCTGACATTTCAACATACGATCTGTGCAACTGCTGTTTTGGGCAGCAGCCAAACACCCCTCTGTTCTCTACCCCGCTTAGTACAATCCGGGTTCCCCTTCTATAAATCAAATTGGATTCATCCACATCCTGTTTGACAGTCTGACCTTTCACCTTGGCTTGGAGGCAGCACGCATGGGACCACATGCTACAAACATTTGGGTAATTTCAATTCAATTAAATATCACTAAACAACTATCAAAATAAGTCACATCAAATGTCTTTGTGTAGCTCTACCATTAACTTCCAAGTCATGTCAAAGGAAATCACAACTTAGTACTCTCAAATTCTAAGCAACCAAATTATTCACATTTAGCAAGCCCAGGTAACCCCACATGCTCAAGCTTCTCTGTTGACTTTCAAACATCTTCACTCCTGATATCATTCATAGGAAATGTAGGAAGAGGCAAAGAAGACTCAAAACAAAGGTCCACAGGGGAAGACGGCCTGTAGTGCTTCACTCAGGAATTTTGCATATTATATTTGTCAGTGTTATTATAGAAATAACACTGACAAAACATTTTGCATTTTGTGACACTTAACAGATAAGACTATGCACAAAACAATGTGTATCTTTGCTTGTGCACTACTTTCTTGCAATGGCATCACTCCACTTTACATGTGTGGGAACAGCACATTAACTCCTATTTCATGTGGCAGCTCTTCACTCTTTCTCACTCAGAACACAACATCAGTCATGGAGGGAGGAAGTGCATCGCTTCACTCTTATCTCTATATTTCACCCATGCAGGTCAAATTAAAAAATGTATACAACCAAAAGCAATAAAAATAACACTTCTTTACAAAACTTACCAAGACGAGAGAGATATATACGAGTATCATGTAACAGATTGTAAATGTGGATTGTTGCATGATGATTGATTATGAAGTTTGTAAAATGTGACCTACTACGTGATGTGTTGTCCAGGCGGTCCAGAGGGTCCAGCAAAGGTGACATGACAAGGGGTGGTCAGAGCTGAGGCCTGCTGATTGAGCCATGATCCTTATGTGAAAAATGAGAAATGGATATAACGTTTCCATATGATTGACGGCCAAATTGATATTTTGAATAACTGGTAAGTGTTTTTTTGCTAGATGAAATTGCAAAGAATGATAGATGAGAAGCAATAGGGACCAGTGAGAATAGTGGATAAGAAGAGTTGTGGTGATTTGGGGAATGTGAGTTTTATTGGAGAGATAGTGGTGATGTTGTTTGAATTGTGTAGATTGTGAAATTAGAGGTGGTGGTTGTGTATGTTTGTAGGGCTAAGTGTTGTAAGTGTTGTAGAGTGAGAAAGCAGAGATGAAAAGTGAGCAGTTTTGTGTTTGTGGCAAGAGTGAAAAGATGTGCAGATATAAGGAAATGGTCTTACTGCTGTGTCAGACAGTGCATGGTCGCTGATGCAGCTGAGTATGATGTTGAGAAAGGGGCGTCTCCACCTGTAAAGAAGAAATAGAGCAAATGTGAGTGTTTTGACTTGAGTGTTTGAGGCTACAGTGATATATGTAAAAAATGACAGGTACACTGTGGCTTGTATTGTTTTCCCCTCTTGTAGAATTATATGTTAAGTATATATAAGATAAGCGGCGGTCGTGATTGGTTGGCACGTTATCACGGCTCCCACGGTCTCGACCTCAGGTCTCCGAGTGCGTCACCCGTCCGGAGCAGGTGACACTCTCCAGAGACAAGTTGAGAAAGATATTGTGTGTATTTAAATAGAGCATGTTTGTTTTGTCATGGTGATATAATTGGAGTGTTTTAAATGAGAAGACACTTGATGGATGGATGCGAGTATTCTAAATAATGTGGATGCGGTGAGTACACACGCTACAGTACGTGATGAAGCAGTTAATTCCCAAATGAGCTGGCACGGCCATTACCTTTTGTGACGGGTGGTCGCCACCCTTTCCGGTCTACATGGACAGCCGCTCGCTCTTTCCTAGAAGGTGGGTGAATGTGGCACATGTGTGAGCGTAAAGAGTGAAGAGCGGGAGTTTGGAGTGGTGTGCTGGGACGGGCGCCGGTCCTGGTCTGGCAAGCGGGACATCTGCGTTAAAAAGAAGACACAAGCACATGTAATGACAGACAGACTGTGTAGGCTGAGATGAGGGAGGGTGGGTACTCTGCGTGACATTTGAGGTGGTTGTGATGTGATTTTGTAGTGTTTGTGATTGATGTTGAAGTTTCCAAGTGGTCAGCATGCAGAGAAGAGAGTGAGCAGAGTACATATGCAGCAGAATAAAATGAAATGAGTGGTCTGAATTTTCTCTCTGTCCCCGTTTGAGTCAAAGTTTAGTCCTGTATATTTCAAATATTATAATTGTAGGTGATATGTTTGCTCATTAG